GCCTTTTTTAGTCATGCATTCATCTGGTGAAAACAGTGGTATCTCACCCCTTCAGATTCTTCCTCTTGTGCCATTTCTGGTATGATGCATTCAAGAAGTGGGTTGTCTCTGGCTTAGTGGAGAGGAGTTGATGATAACTCACTACATATTTTTAAATATTTCCCTGTGATTCAGAACCATCAAGCTGTTCTTCACGTCAGCCTTTGCAGCCTTATGTTCTTACTTGCTGTTGGTATAATCTTTTCCTTCTATTGTTTTTGTATTCAGTAATTACATTTTGGTTTTGGTTCAGGTATGCTCATACATTGGCTAGTGCAGTAGCATGCTCATCTTGAGAGACAGGGAGCCTTTGGATGCTACCTTGTTAAAAATAGTAGGATAAAAATCAAGCAAAGATACTGGTGAGTGAACCAGATAAACAGGACGCTTTCCTTAATTGTGAACTCATCCTGAGTAGTTCATACCTGAGAAGTGGCTTTGGGAAGTATTTTTGTATTTCTAAAATCCAATCCGATTGTGGGGTGTATCATTGTGGGTAGCATTTGTCATCAACTCTTACCTTTCCAGAACAAATACACTGTACTTGATTGACTGCTCCTGTGCCCGTTGTAGCTTCATCTGGACTTAGCCACATGATAGTAGTTGTTTTAGTGCTTTACTGGTGCTTCTGTGAACATTTTGGTGATTGTAGGGAGATGCTGGTGAATGTGGAGAGGATTCTCTTTGTGTTGGCATGTATGTGACTCGCGGTGAAAGCGGAATAAATTACTTGATTGAGGTGTATTTCGGTCACTTAAAGGCAGACAAACCACATGAAACAAAGCTGAAACTCCTGTAAGGTTCCCTTGAGTTTAGTGAGAATAAAGAGGGAGGAGGTTTTAAAACCTGCCTGAATCTATTCTAGAAGAAAGATTTGTGAACAAGCTTTTGTGGTCCTCTGTCTGTTTAAATTAGGAATACGCTTCCTCTTATACTCTGTCCTTTTTCTGTCCCCTCCTAGTCTATGTCTTTATTAGGTTCAAGTCTTTCTCACTGTCTTTGTTGTTCTTTATATGTGCTTTAGCTGTAGTTGATATGTACAGCCCTTGATGACAGATGACATTGTGGCAGGTCTCTGTAACGTACGCTGCATCAAAGCTCTGTACTGCCCCAGCCCAGCTGAGTTTGCTGTTCATCTCCACACTGCGCCTTGCGTGTGTAGCTGTGCTTTGGCCCTCGTCATGGACAAATGAAGTCTCTTTGCCAGTGTCAGGCTTTGTTTCATGTTTGCAATGGTCTTGTGTTAGATGTTGTGTCCTGAGCAGGTGCAAGTGTTGGACTGTCAGTTCTTTAGTGTCTTGCACATCCCTTTGCATGGGGACTTTGCCCTCACTTTATTTGTTGAGATGTCAGTAGCTCCCTGTGTGTACTGTTGTGGTGGAAAGAAAATTGTAAGTAAATTACTGCAATTGACTTTGAAGTATGAGAATGTGACATGTGAGTGTGGAGTACTTAGCTGACCAGAAGCTGATCTGTTCTCTTTCACTTTTTCTTCAGGTTAACTGTAATGGCTTCACAATTGAAGATGAAGAACTCTCTCATTTGGGATCAGCCATATTTCCTGAGTAGGTTAACTTTAAGATTTTTAAAAACAAAATTAACTTATTTAAAAACAAACAAAGGTTCTTGCACATGTATGGAAGTAGATCTCTACTGAAAGAAATTTAAATAAACACTTAATTTGTCTTGTTTTAAATATCTTTAATTGGGTAATAATATGTGGCAAATGATTTGCAGCAGTTTTTCTTTAAAATCTGGTAATTTTGGTTAAATTGTACTTGTAATTTGTTTTGAAGCTTAGATTGTGAACTATATGTAGGTTGGTAGGAAACAATTACTTCCTTGGCTAGCAGGTTCTGGACAGGGACATCATGTAATGATCAAAGCAAAATGAAAAGGATGGCAGGTGACTTTCTCTATTCACAACTTTCTGTTTTGGCTGGGTATAATCCTTCACCTGCTGTTCTCTGAACAGCACCCCTTCTACCTTTGTTCCTTGGCAAACAGTAAATCCCTTTCATAACTTCTTTCAGCCTCCTCAGATGTTCTAAAAACTGCGGCACTTTATGTTGCTATGACAGTGGAAAAGATATGTACAAGCTTCTTAGCTTTACAAATAAACTGCAGATGTTAAGTGTAAACTTCAATTTGTGGATGGGGTACAGGTGGTACAGCTCTCTTTAAGGCTGAGGAACATTTCTTCCATTTAAGTCTGTCTTTCCCACTTAATTTTGTAGCAAAGGGTATTTTCTTCCCCTGTTTTTGGCAAACCGTGTACTGAAAGTATTATCACTGTCTGCTTAGGTTGACTTCCTTGTGAGGCATGGATTACTAGTAGCTTATCTATGTCAAAAGTAATCTGAAACTTACAGATGCCCAATTAAAGCAGGACCTGATCTTGCTAAATGCTGCATACAGACAGTAGTAGATAGTCCTTGCTTCACAGATTCTCCTTCTTCAGGCAGGTCTGTCTGAAGTCCGTATTCCTGATCTACAGATTGGAAATTAAGGCCTTGAAATGCCCAGGATCGGAGTCATCGTGGGGAGAGGACAGTATTAAACCAGAATGTTCTGGAAACATCCAGGGGAGGTTTAGACTAGATATTAGGAGAAATTTCTTTACGGAGAGAGTGGTCAAGCATTGGACCAGGCTGCCCAGGGAGGTGGTGGAGTCACCATCACTGGAAGTGTTCAAAAAACGTGTAGATGTGGCACTTGGGATATCGGTTTAGTGGGCATGGAGGTGTTGGGTTGATGGTTGGACTTGATGATCTTAAAGGTCTTTTCCAACCTTAATGATTCTGTGATTCTGAAGCATGTCCAACACCATCCTTTGTTTATAAATGCTCATCATGCCAGAGCCAGATCTTTCCTACTTAATAGTTACGCCTGTGAGCTAAAAAGACTGAAGACACAATTATTATTTTGCTAGATTGGAAGAGAAAGAATTAAAATTATACATTTAATCTCAAATAAGTAGCAAATGGCACTTTCTCCAAGCTTGGTAGTAAGGGGGAGTACTTTTCTCTAGCAATCCAGGGTTTTGTGCAAGTCGTGTGCTTGTGTAACAGGCAGAGATCTCTTCCCTCCCACTTGAAACATGGAGGCTGTTTACATTTGCACAGAATCCAGCTAAAATTTTAATACCCGTCTTAAGTTGCGATGCACTTTTGTTTTCCTGTAATTGCTTGTTTCCTTTAGGTTAAATACATTTCTCTTTCTTTGTCCTGAGGAAAATAATCTGTCTATCATAGGTACTTAAATAGGATGTTGATAGTTAAGCTGACCCCTGTCAGCTGTCCTGTAGCACTATGGGATGGGAAGATAATAACTGGCCTTTCCCTGCAATAACAGGATTTAAAAATTGTACTGATTCATTAGCACAGACGTTCTCCATATCATTAGAATAAATAAGAGTACAACAGATTTTCCCAAGGTTACCTTCATGTTAAGTCTCAGAGTAGAAAGAGCTTACGGAGACTCAATCTTTCAGACTTACTTGTTTTCTGAAGTCATGCTTATCTTTTTGCCTGTTGCTTTTGGTGGTGGTAGGGGAAAAGGTTTACTTTTCTACTTTTACAGTGTTGCACTGATGAACCATAGCTGTTGCCCAAATGTGATTGTAACTTACAAGGGGACCCTGGCTGAAGTCAGAGCTGTTAAAGAGATTGAGCCTGGAGAAGAGGTAAATGCACTGTGTTTGAATGTGCTCTGTATGCATGCATCCTTAGAAGTAGGATCCATTCTGCTTTTCAGGGTTCATTTCAATTAGAGGACAATTTAATCATACGGAGGAATGAATCTCTTGTTTCTCAGAGAAGTGTAAGGTGTTGCTTTGGAAAAGTTGGGGTGGCTCTGGAGGACTGAAGTGATTCTCTGAGGCAGTATGCTGTTTTGTGCTAAAACAAGGGAAGGGCACCTGCAGCAGTCACTGCGTATCTGCCAGCCTCTCTCTTGGTTTACCCATCTGTAAAATGAGGCTGAGTTTACTGATGTTTGGCTGGTGCTTTGAAATTCCAAGATCAAAGCAATTATTACTGCTACAGTAGTTCCCAGTATAACAGTAATGTATTGTAATTTAAGACTGAATAAACAAGGTAAACGGGGTACAGATAAATCCTCTGACTTCTGTTTGGACTGAGAAGCCACAAACCATGGGACTCTGTCGTATCACCTCAGCGGCACTTGCTGGGAAGTCACAGAAGAACAAGAGTATGTTTTTAGGTGGAGTGAAGCTGAAGAGTGGCGGATAAAATTCTGTGAAATTGAGTAAGGCTCTGGGTTTACCTTGAAACTTTCTCAATGAAATAATGAACTTGACAGGGAGTCTTCAGCAGCAGAGCTGTATTTTGCTTGAAAAAAAGAAAAAAATATGTTAAACAGAGTTAAACAAATATCCAAAGGGGATGAAGATGTGCAACATTCTCTCTGGGGATGGAGTTTGCATAGAGTTTCAATGGCTCATTTGTTAATGTTAATTTAGCGGGCTAGGTTAATGGTGATCAAAATAAGTTCAGATTTGATTTTGATAACTCCTGCTGCTTTCTGATGTGATACCAGTTTTGAAGAAGGGGAGACAGGTTATTTTTGTGGTTTATAGCTGTTTACTATTGTGAACAAAGCAAGTTTAGTTGCTGAAGCCAAGGGCAAATGGCTCATATGAGCAACTTAGAATCATAGAATCTTTGGGTTGGAAGGGACCTTTAAGATCATCTAGTCCAACCCCCTGCAGTGAGCAGGGACATCTTCAACTAGGTCAGGTTGCTCAGATCCCTGTCCAACCTGATCTTGAATGTTTCCAGGGATGGGGCATCTACCATCTCTCTGAGCAACCTGTGCCAGTCTTTCACCACCCTCATTGTGAAAAATGTCTTCCTTATTTCTTCCTAGTCTGAATCCACCCTCTTTTAGTTTAAAGCCGTTACCCCTTGTGCTATCACTACAGGCTCTGCTAAAAAGTCTGTCCCCATCTTTCTTATAAGCCCTCTTTAAGTACTGGAAGGCTGCAATAAGGTCTTCCTGGAGCATTCTCTTCACCAGGCTGAACCACCCCAACTCTCTCAGCCTGTTCCACCTCTGATCATTTTTGTGGCCCTCCTCTGGACCCGCTTCAGAGTGTCCCTCCATAAAACTTCTTTTTATGCCATTTATTAACGATGATTTTTCTGTGATGTTGGCAGTCACTGCAAATGCATTGTGGTAATAGACAAGGACTGATCCTGGTTTTGCAATTTTACTGTGGAATCCTGGACATTTTCAGCATTTTTGGGGAGGGCTTACTGTGAGAGGTAGAGATGTGGAGTATTTACCTTGCTTGGCATCTTCTTTTGATTGAGTTGTGTCTTAAGTTCTCCAGGACCTCGTGACTTCTGCACATTTGCTTTTGTGTCACTTAGAATTTTATAAATGTGAGCTTGTGGTTTTGCTTGGGCTCTGTGTGATCTTATGGCCTGTGTCTCCATCTTCAGGTTCAATGTAGCCATTGCATCAGAACATTTTTAAAGTTTTTGCTGTAAATGCAGTTCCTGCATTTTGCATGGCTTTGAAAATAGGGAAGGGAGGAGAGGAGTGTGAGGGAAAGTGGGAGATCACACAGAGGAAGAAGAACATGTACTGTATGAAATTACATGTACATTTTACTTTAAAGAAGAAAGAAACCTTAAGCATAAAGATGGAGCAAAACATTTCAAATAACTATAAATGCGGAAATGGAACTAAAGCTGTTCCTTGGTCTGCAAAATGATGAACTGCGCTGTGCATGTGAAATGCTTCTTGGGGGAGATCTCATTTTAAAAACAGAGCATTAAAGCTCTTTGCAGGAGTTCTTTTCTGAAGACTATTGAAGTAGAAGAAAACTTAAGAGTAGTGTGTGTGAAGGGCCTTTAAACTGTTCAAAAGCAGGTTTTCTTTGCTTTAAAATATTGCTGCTAAAGTAAATCTGAGATTCATTCTCCTAGAACTGGAGCACTGGGCTGCTCTTCAAAGATCTAAAGGTCTTGTCCTAAGTTTCTAAAACTGCTAGTGACTGCTGTTGCCCCAATTTTTGTAGATTTTCAGAACGAAAAATTTGAGATTCCAGCCTCCAAAAACCAGGCCACTGTAATTTATCCTAGGCTGGATACCTGAAATCGTTGTTTTACTTCTGAAAAGTAGGCATCTCTTTGTAGTCTGACAGGAGCCTGAGATTTATGCTGTGTTAGTGTTCTTATCCACACCTGAATCTTGCTGTCCTGGATTTAAGCCAGGGTAATGTTTGAGGGGAAATTCCATAATTTCCAACAGGAAAGGAAACACTTCTCAGTCAGGTTGCATTCACAAATGGCAACTCCTGATGCTGCAGAGACACTTGGAATGTGAGGGAACAGGCAGATGAAGAGTCTGCTGGGATCCACAAGTTGCAAGAATATGTAGTCATCATACTACATATACCAGAACTAGTAGTGATAAATATGTAGTTACACTGCTCTTCACTGACTGCTGTGTTTGTACCATATAGGTTTTTACCAGCTATATTGACCTGTTGTATCCCACAGAAGACAGAAATGACCGGTTAAGAGACTCGTATTTCTTTAATTGTGATTGCAGGGAGTGCGTTACGAAAGAAAAGGTAATAAAATTGGGGTGAAATATGCTTCTGACTGTCAAGGCACCCACCCAGGTCCTTAGATGTAATATTCTGTCTGGTTTAACTAGATTTTGGAAAGTAGCATAATAGAGAGGGGGGGTGGTTTTGTTTTTCTGTCTAGGAGACTTTCTGATACTCATTCTTTCCACTGTAATCATGACACAGCAGGAAGTTTCCTGGTAAAGGCCTATTAAAAGTTGAGCTACAAAGCAAAGATGAAAACTTTGTTGAAAGTAGTTAATTATACTATGTCTACGCTACCTGACCAAAAGAATTTAGCTCAGAACTCTTTTCTCTCTTTTTTTTTGATGTTTGTTTGTGGTTTTTGTTGTGTGGTTTTTTTTTTTTGTTGTTGTTTTAACATTGTAACAGCATCTTTTCTACCAACTCCCAGTGAGTGAATATTGCTTGGGGCATTTCTGGGGTCCTGTTCTGGGACAGAGTTCTGCTGCAGTTCCCAGTTGGGACATCTCAGCCAATTCTAGGTGATATTGTATGACATTGCTGGATGGACTGGAGACCCAGCAGAACCTGCGAGATGGGCTTTCCTGCAATGGTGTCATATCGGTCTTCTCACAGGCAGGGTGGTCCTAGGTCACAGACTCTTGTGATGTGCAGGCCAGATTGATGTTCATTAGACATCACCTGGTGCCCTTCAAAGGACAAAGGCAGACATCCAGACAGTGTTCCTTAAAACAAGGTGTTAAGTTATTTTGAAGAAAAGCATTTAAGATGGGGGGGAAAAAGTACCCAAGCCCAACAGATACTGAAACAACTGTGCCTGTGCAGCCATTTTCAACCTCCTTCACTGGAGGTCCTGGGAGAATTGAGCTTTATATGGCTCATCTGTTATTCCAGCCAAGATCAGTCTGGCTGGCATAATCTGATCTTTAAGTTCCAGATAATTTTTTGCCCCATTTTCACAAAAGTGTCCTTTTAAGAGCTGCTTCCCAAACTGACCAGACAACCATCTCCTTCCTCTAAAGGCTGTAATCTTTGGGAAAAAAGTTAAAAGAGTACGCAATATTCTTGTTTGAGGCCATTGTCTTGATACTGTAGTTGTATTTTTTCCCCACAGTTACCTTTATGATTTTGCCACTGGGTTTAACGAAGCCAGGATTTCATCTGTGATTTCCAATAACACGCTACTCTTGGAATCACCTGTCACTCAGCCTCCTTCAGATTTGGAAAGAGTCCCCTATAGCCCCCTCAGCTGGCAGATGAAATAATAAAGGAAAAAGAAATCTAGCAACAATGTGAGGCTTAAACAGAAAAAGATTGTCTCCAGATTGCAGCTGACTCTTCATGATGTAGTAAGTTAGATAGAGAGATACGAGAAAGTGGAGCTGGTCCAGCAGAAATAACAACATATGTGGAAATGTGGTTTTGTCTGTAGATAAGAAAGATCCTTTTCTGTATTTAATATCATCGCGTTTTCCACTGAGCTGTCACTTGGTGGTAGGCCTATAAAGTATTTGGGCTTTTCTAGCCTTAAAACTAAATTTGTTTTAATCCCTAATCTCTCGGAAGCAGTGACATTTCCTATGTAAAACTGCTTTCATCACAAAATTGAAAAGCTCTTGGATCTTTCAAAAGAAGGGGACTTCATGGAAGTAGACAATGGCAGATGAACTAGAAGGCATGGGGGATTCTAGGATTCCCAGCCAAGGCTTTAGAGAAAAATTGCAGGTGCACATTCTACCTTTGTTTTTACATTCTTTGAAAAGCTTAAGTTCCCATCTGTGTCTTTTTATTAGAGTAATTTTGTGCGGCAGGTGCACCTTTATTTGTAGGGCTTGGAACCTGCATTTATAACATCCATTGTGTTTCCTTCAGGATAAAGAGAAACTGGAAATCCGCAAGCTGAATGATCCTCCATCAACAGAGACAGTACGGGACATGATCAAATATGCCAGAAATGTGATTGAGGAATTCAGGCGAGCCAAACACTACAAATATATCCTTCGTCTTACCCTGACTCCACTGAAATACTGAAAGACCAGTGGGAGAAATACTATGAGCATTGGAAGTTAAACTTACCTCTGTCCTCTTTGTGTCTGAAGAGTTGTCCCTGGTGACAAGGGGCAGTTTAACATTGGGTTGTTTGGATTGTTTTGGGATTGTGAGACCCCATGTTTGTTCCTTCCTGGGCAGCGCTCAATCTCTAAGAGTGCCGTGTATGGCTGTCTCCACACAACAAGCCAGAGACTAGAGTGAGTGTAGGTGTGTGGCTGTGTGAGTCTGCTGTAATACCGCCTGGTTTTGAGAGACCGCGTGTGAGGCTGCAGCTACTGCTGATGGTCACGAGCCTGCCTGTTGTAACAGTGGTGCGGTGCAGGCAAAAATGCAAGGCTCACCGAGCCAGAAGCAGACCAGGCTATCTCAGCGCCTGATTCAGGACCCACCGCATGGGGAATTTCACTCCCCCTTCTGACACATTGCTGTTGTGGTGGTTTAGAAAAGCTGCTTTTTTTTGTTGGTTTTTAAATCTGAGAGCTAGTTTTGTAGAATATCTGAGTGAGAGGGGGAGTAATCTCATGTGCAGAATACCTCTGCATATAGAATCTCTCCCAGTAGTTCTGGGGTTGCAGCATGGATGCTTTAGTAACAAATACTTTTAATAAATATTATATTTAATAATAATAAATACCTCTTAGAGTAGCTCTGGGGTTGTAGCATAGATGCTTTGATGCCATTTGAGAGAAAAGAGGATGTCTCAGAACCATTCTGAACAAATTTAAGTCAATTCTTCTTTGGCATTACCAGGTAGTTGTCTAATGAGAGGCCATCTATTTATTGGGTTCCTTGACTTCTTCATACCTCCTAGTGAATTACTGGAGATCTGTGAACTCAGCCTGGACAAGATGGGTGCAGTGTTTGAAGACAGTAATGTTTATATGTTGCATATGATGTACCAGGCCATGGGTGTCTGTCTCTATGTGCAGGACTGGGAAGGTGCACTGCGTTATGGGCAAAAATTGATCAGACCGTACAGGTAAATACGAGATGCATTTGGTTTTGGGTTTGTTTGTGGTTTTTTTTTTTAATTAGTGCTGTAGTTCAGTAATCTGAATAATTAAGACAAGTTTGGGCAGAGATCACTTCTCTCAGTATGTATTGTATAAACATGCTACCCATGACATCAGTACTCGAAAAGGAATGTTTAAATGCTGGGACAGATTTTGTTACTGTCAAAGTGCGGTCTGCAATATATAGCAGAAGGTTGCTCTGAAGTCCTTGCTTTGAGTTCTCAAGTCCGAACTAGCACACCAGCACTGTGTGGTGAACTAGCACTGAACTAGCACACACTAGCTATTTCTGCCTAGCTAGAGAAATACTCTGTTTTTTTCAATATCCTAATACTTTACTAAAGCAGAGCTTTGAATCGCATCTGCAGTCAGTATTTTGTTTAAGGTAATGGAGGCAAAGCCCGCAGCCGCTGCCAGCCTCCCGCCCTCTCCCAGTCCTTTCCGCAGTAGCTCGGTGGCCGTGGTCGCAGGAGAGCAGAGCCCTGCCCCAGGGCTGGGGCTGAGCAGCAGAGGGAGCTGGAGCCGAGCTCGGCTTCTGCGCCCGAGGCCTTGGGTGCCTTGGTGTCCCTGATCTCCGCTGCCCTATAGCTGGAGGTGTGGGAGAACGTGCAGGCTGAAGCCCCATGTGGGGCATGGCGGCATGCAGCCTCTGCAGGAAAAAATTAATACTCCCTCCAATTAAATTTTTCTGTGTTTTTACAGTAGTGATCTCGTTCATTAGAGCCAGCCAGTTATGCGCAGTGTCTGATCCTGCCATGAATCTCCCGAGCAGATTCTCATCTTGAGACGTGGCTGTCTTGCCAGCTGGGGGGAGCGCAAGTAAAGATCTCCCTTTGGAGCAGATGCCAACATAAAGTCACAGATCACTTGGCAGAGAGCAGCGATACAAAGAAGGAGCCAACATTCCCCCCCTGGGGGCTCAGTACTATTTATCTTCCCTGGGACTTGCCCAGCTCCTCTGGCTCCGAGCCTGGCATTCCAGGTCAGCTCTGCTGAACCGGACTCCGCTAGCTCAGTGTGTGCGAGCACAGAATGAGGGCCCCTCGCTTTCCATTAAAGACCGACTATTGTGGTACAAGCAGTTACTTCTGCGGGTGTAGGGTGGCTCCAAAAACTCCAAAAACAATGCGGTCTCTTTCTGTAGCTGGCTAGATTAAAACTAGCGGCAGAAAGTCGTTGCCATCTGACAGCTGTTCAGAGGCATATGGTAGTTTCAGTTCAATTCCCAAGTGACAGGCGTCCCCGTCCCAGACACAATTGGCACCGACTCTTGGCAGTCATGGCAGAGGGGATGAGTGGTGAATGGACGGGGCAACGAGAGGCAGCTTCTTACCCCCTGAGAGGGGGACAGGGGCTGGGAAAATGCTGTGAAACTGCCAGGTTTGTTAAAACTGATTTTTTTTTTTCTCTCTTGCAGTAAACATTATCCCTCGTACTCTCTGAATGTTGCCTCCATGTGGCTGAAATTAGGGAGACTCTATATGGCACTGGAGAACAGAACAGCTGGAGTTAAAGCCCTGAAGAGGGTAGTTATTTCCTGGTTTCTTCATTAATAATACCAGTTCAGGCATGGCATCATTGAAACACTCTGTGCTTCTCTGTCAGTAAGCCTGGCTTGGTAGGAAATGCACCATGTGTTAATATATTTGGTTACTGGATTTTTGGCTCAGTCGTGATTTTTCTGAAGATGCAGTATAGGTCTGTTCTCTCATACGAGGGGTCTTACCTTTTCACGGTGGACTTCTACAGCAGCAGCTGGAGTGAGCATTATGCTTAAACATTTGCTCTGCATTCTTCACCAAGCTAGAGCTGTACTACTGTAAATGAAGCAGAACTCTGACTTCTCACTTGCTAGATAAGGACAGAAAAAATGCTTGGCTCTTAGAAAAGGCACATAGTGTTTCACTGAAGTCTGTGATTCCTATATCCAAGTTAAACTAGGCATGCTTTTGGTGGTTATTTGTTCTGGAACCAATTGATTTTTAAATAGCTGAAGGGAATTCAATACATATGGTAATGCTGAAATTGGCAAATGCAGCATTTGGTTTTACATTTGTCTTCACCCCTTTTTATTAGTCTGTTCCTTTTTCTTTGGTTTTTTATTCTTCAATTGTTTTTTGTTAGTCTGAACCATCTTTCTTGATTTTCTCCCCCTGTTGTTGTTGGACAGAAGTTTATTTTTAGTTTCTTAAGCATCAGTGACTACTGTAGCATAAAATGACTTGATGGGGAATGTCACGATTATTTATTTTTTTTCCTTCCTTTTTAGATGCTGGCAAGTTTTTAGCCAGCAGTAACAGCCATCCAACCATGGTGAAAGATACTACAAGAATATATGCTCTAAAATTGAACTGTTACTGAGTTTAAAATTAGCGTAGGTTTTCCTTCGCTGTGGTGTTAAAGCTTTGACTAAAACTGGGATTTGCGCCAGTAGGAACATGGAATGGGGGGTTGGGAACTGTAGGTAGATTTGTTGGCATAGTTAGCTTCCTAACACAAACATTTTCTAATGACTCACTTCCAAAAGCTGCCTGCAGGAACTGCCCAAAGTTATCCCAGCCCCTGACGTTTGGGATTTAGTGGGAAAACAAAGCCATTGTTCTCTGTCAGTTTGCAAGCAGCTCCTCCGGAAGGCGCTCCTTTCTTCTTGTGGGCAGGAGGGGGGGACGGAGTAATTTCTCACTGCTGCTGAGGTGGAACCAAAGGCTCTTCTTGTACTGACTTAACAAATGTAAGAGGATAATTCCATAAAGGTTTCCCGAGGAGAAAATGACTAAATGCTGTCATGGCTAGGATGCTGCAATTCCTTGCTTTATCTTAGCAGCGTGGTCTTTAGGTATTCTCAGCTGTATTCTGAACTTGCTCCTTTCTACTGCTGCCTTTTATTACATCCAGTTGGGGCCACCGCTATCCTTTTCTCAAGTGGAGATCTTGCCTCTAGGCCCACTCTGCGATGCAGTGTGGATAGTGGCAGGAAAGTGCGAGCCAGGGGGTTTGGTTGCCTCAAACGTTCACTCTTAGGACCCAATCAGGCTGTAGGTGAAACGGCCGGGAGTCGTGCACTGCAGCATCTGTCCGACTCTGACAAGAGCGCGGTAGTTGCGTAAGCAACTGCTTCCTTCGTAAAGCAGCGGTAACCCTGGACCCGGTGGAGGGTTTACAGAATCAAGTCTGAAGTGCCTTAAGGTAACTTCTGCAACAGGCCTGCTCGTCGCTCTGACAGCTGAAGGACAAATTGGTAGGAATAGAGCTGGTTAAGTCCTCTGCCAGAATATTACCTACTCCATGTGCAGTTTTCTGTCCTGGAGCTGGTTGCATTCAAAGTAGTTTTGTCAGGAATATAATTTTGAAAGGTGCTTTGGGATCCTTTAAGATGAAAGATGTGTTCTCCGAATGTAAAACCTTTATTACTTAGTTTTGAATTTCATTTTATTTCCTACTGGGTTTATGACTACAAGGGGACAAAAAGTAGCTAGAGGTGTCAGACTGTTTCAAACTTCTAAAGAGAGTATTTATAGCCTGGTGTTATATATGAATCAATTGTGTGAATATTTTTTTCTTTTCATAGGCAATTGCCATCATGGAAGTAGCACACGGGAAAGATCATCCATACATTTTGGAGATCAAAAAGGAATTAGAGGACCACTGAGCCTTTGAATCTATGCAATCCTTCAAACCTTTATTTAAAAAGCCTTGTTATGGAAACCTTCAGGAGCGCTTTGAAAAGCGGTAGAGTATGAACACAGTTCTGTCCTATAATTGGAATGACAAACACACTTACGCCTTGCACAATGTTCCTAGCTTCCACATGTCTACAATGCCTTTTTTTTTTCAAGGAAGCATCCATGGTTTATTAAAGGTTATGCCTTTTTTGACAGCTTATGTGCAAAAAATGGCCATTTTTTTCTTTACAGATTTTAATGTGTATCTTATTTGTGTAAGGTAAATAAAGCGGTCTTGACCCCTCTTGATTCCCCTTGTACGCTTACATGGGTGCAATAGTTTTGTGACATCTACTTTTGCCTAAGTTGTTTCACTTAACTTGACAAATGAATTAGCAAAAGCGGTATTCTTTTTTTGTTGTGGTTTCATATTCAATTCCTCAAATCATTTTTGTTTGCAGTGGCTTAGCTGAGAGAAAGGGGAAACAGGGTGATGAATTTCTGCTCATTGTGCAGGAAAGCCCCCACTGTTCCCTCAGCCAGTTAACTTGCGGGCCCACTCCTGCTCCTGGCAGCTGGGCATTCATCATGGGAAGGACGTAGAGCTCAGCATCTCTCGTACGGAGAATGCTCAAAGGCTCGCACAAGCCTTGAACTGTGCAGCACCTTCTGGCTTTTTAATCCCCGTTACACGTTGAAGTGGAGTTATTGCAGAGGAGAGCTTGTGTTTCCTTTATAGCCTTTGCCTCCAGGGGATTAACACTATTCTACCACTACGTTAGCAGTTACTTTTAATAGAGGAACAAGAACTGTAGCTGTAGCCTTTCTCTGCCGATATATAAGACTGGAAGTTTTTTTTTTTTTTTCTCTCTTTAGGTCAATGGCAGGAGATTGCTTTTAAGGATGGGGAAGGAAGAGGAGGGAGAGTGTGGCTGTGTACTTGCAGCACCAAAACTGAAATATGTAAAAAGTAAAACTATGTGACCATTCCTTACTGCTTTCATAGCTTATAAAGTACAATGAGCAAGAGAACACATCACCATTAAGAACTTCATCATATTTTCTTTCTTGTAAGCAAGGGCTGCTCTGAAGATAAGACTGCTAGAGAGCAAGCGTTTGTCAGCTCGTTTTGTCAGCAGTTTTCATCGCGCTCTAGCCAGTGGCTGTTGCATGTAAAACTGCACCGGATCTTAGGATTCCAGAAAGCCATGGCCACTTACCTACAGCCAAGCCTAGGAAGAGGGCATCAGCTGACTATTTTTATCCTAACTTTATCTTGTCAAGTAAACCCTCATCCAGGGAAACCGGCACCTTCAGTCCAGAGCCCAAGACTATACTTCAACAGTAAAGCATGGCAGCAGCCTAGCATGCGTGCGGGTAGGAGCCATGCCCCTTCGTGGGAAACGAACGTGAGCATGGTAGCTGCAAATACAAAACCTTAAGCTGGTACAGGAAAGAACACAAGCATACTTTTCCTTGGGAAAAAAAAAAAAGGTTTATTGTATACTGTGAATATGAAGGACAGCCTTACCAAAAAACTTTAGTGACTGAAGACATTCTTGTATTTGCAAAAGCATGTAAGAAACTATTTACACAAAGGCAGTGAAAAGGGTAAAAAATTATTGCAGTCAATTAATGCTGAGTAGAACTTTATAAAAAGAGAAAGAAAAGAAACAGTGCAAAAATACTGTCAAAAGTAATCAGTTCTATACACAAGATAAAACTGACAAGCCATAAGCTTATGTACTGATATGAATAATACATTAGAATATAAAATAGCATGCATAGATTTTTTTTTAAAAGGCTTTCAACAGCATAGAATAGTTCTGCCATTCATCCCTAACAGGAGGGAGGTGGGGGGCATGTAACCGATGCCTCATTTCTCTACAAAATGTGTACATACAATGAGGTGGTGAGATTCAGATCACTGTTTTGTGCTAAACTGTCATGTACAGAGTTACAGAACAAATAAACCAGGAAGCATCAAAATACTGAAGTAAAACAGGACATTAAAATTCAGTGACATAAAACTTACTTAAACATGTTATTTCATTTAACACGTCTCACACAATTATATATGGGAATATTACAGTCATCTGCATGTGTAAACTTTTCTCCTTTGCAAAATAGCCAACGAAAGGTACTTTACTAATGAGGAAAAGCATGTTTTCCATATGGAGCAATCTCAACAGGATAAACATCCTATTAACAGTGTTTCTGGCACTAAAGATTTGTTTTCTTTTAAAGACCAAGTAGCAGCAAGAAAATACTTTCACTTAACATACCCAAAAAGGAGGTTGTTGTAGACATAACATAAAACTTAAGTTGTGCAACTCACCACCACAGGACCTTGTGAAGACCAGAGGACTAAATGGTTTCTGAAGAAAAGGTAATGTGGTTCACGGAAGATGAAGCTATCAGTAGTTATGAAGCACAGTGAGCAGGATACAACTTTTGCCTCAAGAAGCCCCTAAAGGACTGGTTGCCAGGGGTACTGGAGGGGCTGAGCACCCTCTTCCAGAGACATTCATATTTCTTCCTTACATGTCAACTACCAGCCACTGTCCACAACAGGGTGTGACCTCCAACCTGCTATGGAAGTAGTTTGTGGGAAGCCTTCCTCTTTTATTCCTGCCTCATCAGGGAACACTGCCTCTGAAATAGCTGGAGCTGAGTGTCCAAACCCCCGAGTCCTTACCCAGGTGATTTGGAAGAGTAAAACTATTAAGCAGTACATTCATTTCAGGGATCAGCTGAAGTATTAGTTTTTCCTTGATGTTAAATAGCGCTGGGGTTCTTCCGTGAAAGCTGCTGCTTAACCGCTGACTTCCAGTTCACCCTCCAAAGGCCAAGTCCTGCTTGCTGTTGCATGGGGGAAGCTCCTGCTCAGGGTGCGCGTAAAGCATAGGCAACAGAATGCCACAGAAAGGCCAGCCGAAAAATGGCCAAGAGGAACCATGGGAGTTGTAGTCTAGGATACTCTAAGGTATTTACTTTAAATATTTATATGAACACTGCTACTTTTGACCTGTGCACTAAATGTTTTCTTTCAAAATCTAACAGTAGTTTATCTATGGTTAAGACCTCCACCTTCTGTCATTTGCCCAAGGAGCCAGCTGTTCCCTTCCTCAAATCACAGTCCCTGCACGCCAAGGCTGCATGCAGCTGCATGCATAATGCCCTCCTCTCTAAGGCCTTACATGGCAGCTGTAGTCCCCAGAGCACCAGATTCTGCAAGAAAACCACTTTAGAAGGTTAAGAACGAGCTGGGGACAATTGCCTTCAGGGTTTTGAACTTGAAACCTTTCTCTAGTTGGCACCAAAACTCACCTCCAAACTCACTCTGACTTGGACTATACATCAGCAGTTTTATATCCATTGTTGTAGAGGGGTGGCCAAATGATGTTTTTATCCAGTGCTTCCCTTTCCAGGTCAGTTCTGGTATTTGCTCCTTTGATACGGTGCATCCCTTTACTTCATGCAATGGGTGCCACTCTAGCTCACTGGATGTAAAGCATTCTTTTCCAGAGACATGCATCAAAATTTAACTCTGACCTCTCTCACTGATGCATGAGAGCTGCTACAGCAGACACCAGTCGTACTGATGCTTCCCCTTTCTGAGCACGCAGTTCATGACCTGTTAGCGAGACTGACAACAGCCAATTCGATCATCATCTCCTCCCGGGAGACCGGTGGGAAGTCAGCTGTTGAGAATGTAGCATGGGCAGTAGCTGCTGAATTTTCCCTATAGATTTGTGGGCTGTACCCAAGTACGAGACTGTCCATCAGCATTTATTTTAGAGTCACTTGTGGGCTACACAGACAGAGCAGGTACTGGATCAAAAAAATAATGTATTAGCTTAAAATGACCATCGCTATTGAAGCACTGAGACTTACTCATTCTTTTCCAACCTATGTTTTGCCATTTGCATTTCTGTCTGTTTACAAGAAAGCAATTTAAACAATTGAAATCATGCAAATATTTAATAATATTTGTAGCTGAGGCAACTGATTTAAATAAGTGGAATAGAAATGTCCTTCAGTATAAAGGATTGCATTAGCAATAGGTCAAATAAGTTCTTACAGATGCATCTCCTGCCAGCTGAAACTAGCTTAGGGAGAAGGTATTTCTGATAAGGCTGAGCATTTAGGGTCCCTAGCTAGGAGAAAGTTTGTGGGAACAAGCTTCATCTTTCCTCGGGTAATCAAGGACAAGAGGTGCCAAAGCAGGCCTGGGGAGGAGCTGGAACAAGCAGGACCTGAACAGCTCATGCCCACCATCCTCCAGCACAGCCTCTGGAGGATGGAAACAGCACTGAGCAGCATCAGAACTCGGCTGTCATCCCTCCCATCCCTGATCAGACAACGGCAGGCATGAAATGCTATGAAATGACTGTGGCTTTAACCAAAAATCTGATGCCAGCAACCTCAGTACTATCATTGGTAAGAGTTTAAAGCAAAAAAAAAAAAGGTGTTAAATACAGATGAAGAGTGCACAAAAAAGGAATAAGATACACAACGGATTCCCGAGTCAGACTTACTTACCCATCCACACCACGTTCTCTCAGAGTCAGGAAGTGGAGGCTAAAGGTGCCAGACTGCAATGGGGGCACCTGGGGAGAAGACTGCTTGCATCAAACTTTTTGAAGTGCAGCTCCATTCATTCGCCACTGATGCATCTTTGTGAGATTTTCAATCCAGACTTCACTCCAAATGGATGAAGCTGGTCTCCTAGAACCTACCCCTTGTCATGCTTTCATGTTAAAAAAAAACATGAAACAACACACAGCAGCTCCGCACTGTCCTTTTCCACTTAAGGATGCTGCTGTAAAGGCCTGCGGGACAGAAACTAAACAGTACTGTTGCTTTAAGTCTCATGCGTTCGTTCCTGCTATGACTAATACAATTGGATGCAAAATGCATTTTCCTGTCGCTCCCTAAAGGTTAGGAAATACTGCCCAAGCAATTTAGGCCTGATAAAACAACAACAGGTTCAAAGTCAGAAGGTTCAGGTTTTCCCCTACAAAAGTGTATCGCATTTCAGTCGTAAAACATTGGCATGCTGAGGTTTGGTTGTAGCTGGGGTGGAAAAGAACCTCTGAAGACATGCACCAGCCCAGTTCACTTATGATATTAGCAGATCTAGTCAAGATAAAATCTAGCAGGAAAAAATACATTGAAGTCAGATGAAAGGAAAAGTTTAAAATTACCATTCTTTGACAATGAAAGGGAAAAAGTGAGTCACATTGGCCTCTATCTACCATACCAGCCACATTAGGAGTTAATTGGAAATGACTGTTTACTACATG